GATTGGAAATAACTGATTGAAAGTAAAGAAAGCAGTAAGCTAAGACTGCTGAGTGGGAAACAAATTCATTTGTAGGTTATTTTGGTTCTGATCTGCAATCTGATTTCGGGAAGAGGAGTTCCCGTCTCTGGACCTTCACACACGCAAACACACGACAGCTTCTTTTTCTATTTTTACCTGCACCCCTTTTCACTCAACCTCTGTCATCGGTGTCCTTTTAGAATCAGGCAGGAGGGAGGACTGAGGGAACAATCGGCTGATTCATCTGCCTTTATGTCACCGTGGCAGGTCCCTCTCTAACTCTCTCTCTCTCTTTCTAGAACTCGTTTCCCCCCCCCCCCCTCTCTGGGCTCCACACCCGTCCCCTCTTCCTACCCAAAACGCTGCTCCTCCCCCTCCCCTGTTGGTTGCTTCCTCTTGTTTTGGGCCGGTGCACACAGGGGCCCCCGGCTTGTCCCAGTCCCGGCCCATCCTCAATGGACTCTCTGTTTGACCCCTTCCGCTTCCCCCCCTCCACCCTCTGTCTCTCTCTGCTAAACAGGATAATCAGAGCCACAGCAGCATCTGATCAGCTGCAGCTCATTATACAGGAATGCACCAGCCTTAATTAGCACACATAACATTACATTACATAACCTGACGTTGATCATTGGAGTCAGGTTGTGAGTCTGTAAATGTCACTCTAGTAACATTACCGTAAGATTTTCTATGCAGATTAAGGAGCGATTTCACACCTGCAGAGAATCTTTTCTTTTGCCAACGCCAGTCTTTTAACTTCTCTCCTTGCTGCAGTGTTTCAGAGGTGTCCAGAAAGTGGGGGTCAGTGGAACCTAGCCTAGTGTTAAATTAGTCTTTAAGCGTCTATAAAATCCCATACACTGCCAGTAAAGAAAGGACCTTTTAGCGTACAGCATGCAAATTGTTTACAGTTTGTGAACGCTCTGCTCAACATTTATTTACTACCCACATTGGAACCACGACATCAAGTCCTTTTGCAGGGATGAATGTCGGGCAATGACATCGCCGTGTCTGATGTCGTGTCGTCATAAACAGCCAGCATAAATCACGCTTAAGACTGTGACATGCCTCTCTATCTGCATGTAATACAAATGTGCATGGTTGCTGTTTAGAGATGTTTTGCGATACGGTCTCTTACATATTTACTTACATTTTTTTTGTTTTTTTCAAACTTTTCTCACCAATCTGCTTTTTTGGACACACTGGGTCACACCGGCCACGTGATTTAGTAGGAGTGCTTCTCTGTAAACATCTGCAACCTACAGTTACCCATAGCATCTTTCTCTGTGTGGATCTGCAGAGATGCTTATGTGGATCTTTACACAATCCGAGAACTATAATTCCAGCCTGATACTTTTGTAAGAAGTGAAGATAAGCAGCCTGTTGCAGTGAAAAATGTCTCACAGCTTCATACGTTATAAGTAACGGCTCACATCAACCATCATGTAACAAATGCCAAATATTGCAAAAAGCTTGGCAGCTCTATCTTTAACGGGCCATGTTTGAAGAGTTTGAAAGATTGAAAACAGAAACCTACAACTTGTGATGAACACAAAACACTACACATGTCATGTCATGTCTGGAACAGGTTTCTTAGAGAGAGCAGGGATCTCAGATATTAATTTGTGACACTAGATGTCTGTTTGGGAAATAAAAGCTTAGCATTGACACCAGACAGAAAGACAAACACAGATTACAAAAAGGTCATGGCAGCATGTTTAAAGTATGTCTATATACAATCTAACAATTCCATTAATGAGCTCAGATTAAAGTAATGTATTTAAGAATCTTAAACAGATCACATGAGTTGATTGAGGCCAAATTGTCTCCTTTTGTATTCATAATAGCTATAGCTGATGGGAAAAGGCAACATTTTGGGAATGAAAGCAAAATGTCTGGAAAACATTCTCAATTATTTAGATGATCTGAAATAACGTTAATACAGTGTTTTATGTACTGTAGGTCACAGCATTACAACCTTCAGGAAAGTAACTCAGATTCTATGTAAAGACTCGCTTGTATTATGACGTTAATGTGATTATTTTGATAACACTTGACAGAGGTATGAGGAAGGCGGGTCGGTGGGGAAGAGAGAGATATTGCTAAAATTCCTCCGTGGAGTGAGGAGGATATTTAGTGACTGTGTGTCAAGCAGGAAGGCTCCATCCACTGTCTGTCACCATCAAAACATTCTCCAGAAAAATGCCCCCTGTGAGTGATATATTATTTAATGATGGTTAATGCGGATGTGTTTATGTTTAAGTAACATTTGTCTGGTGGAGCAGGATCTAGTTTTAACTACTTTAAATACAGTGAGGTAGTGTACGCCTGTGGTTCCCAACATAGGGTCGGAACACGTCCAAATGGTCACAAGATCGATAAATGGGAGAGGAAAGAGGTAAAAACAAAGTTCTGCTGCACACATCTGTCTTCCTAAAGTCAATTGGACTTTGTTATTTGTGAGATTTTGGACAATTGTACTTATTTGGGCCCAAAGCAATTATTTAAATAGAACCTTTTAGACGTTTAGAGGGAAAATGTCTCTTTGGTGGAACCGCTAACAACTCATAGACAGGGAGCCTCAACTACTCACTGATTCTTGTTTGGTCACACACCAAAAAGGTTGAGAACTACCAATTTGATCTTCCATGAACCATTAACACAATATAACAGCACAATGTTTCCTTCTGAAATGCAGAGGAATTGAAGAATAAAGTAGCATAAAAGGGAAATCCTCCAAACTAATATTGCTTAATTTTATCCAATATGCCTCTAAAATCCCTCACATTGCCTATTTGTCTTGATTTGTAGAGTGAATTCCAGTGAGTGCAACAAACAAACAATAGGACTGTTATTAAAGCTGGCAGCAGGACAGCGCAGTCATTCACTAACAACCTGTCTAGACACACAAACTGTATCTCCCCGCCCACAGCTGGAATCACAAAGCACAATAGACGTACTCAAGTCGGACTAGCAGCTCTGAAACATTTTATCATACACGCCAGTGTAACTGGTAAAGTACGAGCGAAAACACTGCCACTGCGATGACAACAACTCAAAGCTTGTCAAAACATCCAAGCGCCAGACGGAAGCAGCCAATTCACTGCAAAACAACTGCACAAACAGGCCAGCATGTAAAAACACAAGCTAACAACTCACATCCTTAAAACCCTTGTGTTGTCCTCCTGACTGCCATACCCCTGTTGTCCTCTGGGGTCAAAAATGACCCCACCTGGTTTGACTGTTTTTAAAGCATACAGTATAAATTGTCAATCAATTCTGTTTTACACCTTTAGTATTACTTCAGTCCAACACATTACCACAAATCGTTCCCTTCATTTTGGAATTTAGGACCAATAGACCTTGTTTACATAAAAGTAGACCCTGTTTTTGAGTGAAAATACAATGAAACAATTAATTATTTTGACTTTATATTATTTTTTACTATTTGACTTATCACAGAGCGGTACATATCAAAGTTTAGTGAGGATGCTGTTCTTGAATCATTTGAATTTTTCTAATGGCAGCACATAATCACACCTGTTGTCCTCTGGGGTCAAAAATGACCCCGTCAGGTTTGATTGTTTATAAAGCATACAGTATAAATTATCACCCACCTCTGTGTTTCAACTCCTTAGTCAACTTTATTCCAACTCATTACCTGACATATAAAACATGTCAACATTCATTTCTGCAACATTTAAGAAAGAAAACTATCTTGACCAAATGCTGAAGCCCGCTGTGCCTTCTGTCTCTCTTAATGTCTCCCTCAGTGTCATTTTGACCTTTTTTCTGACCTTTGACTACGAGAGACGGGCCACGAAATCCAATAAGTTATATGAGTCATGAATAGAGCAGGTGGCGAAACATGCTTAGTCATTAGCAGGCTCCTTCCAAATATTTATTCACACGACGCTGAGCAAATTTACAGCGAGGTAACAGTGCAGAGTCAGCAAGATCCCAGGTCGTGTTAACTCTTATATGCAAGAGTTCAGTTGTTGTAGCCTTTAAATTGAGCATAAAACAAGTTTATAATCTGGTATTCTTTATCAATAAAGTCTCACAGTGCTCACATTGTCCTGCGCTGCTACTGGGACTGTTAAACAGGCTGCCAGCTGTCAACTTTCTGACTCTTCATTGTGTCAAGACACACACACACACACACACACACATTGGTAGACTGAAAAGGTCCCCCTCCAAATACACTGACTGAGTAAGTGGGTGTTGTGATATGGGTATTTATGATGTAAAGCTCTTTTATTCTGTCTGAAGTTCATTTTTATCACATAATAATACATACAATATAATACGTGTATATCAAATTCCTGTTTATTTTCTCATGTTCATTGAATTCTATATATTACTAGTTTACTCTTTAAAAAAAGCTACAGGACACTTCTCTGGCCCTGCACATCTGTCAGAAGTTTATGATTGTCTGTGTGGTTAATATGTTTTATACTATATGCAAATAAAAACACAGTAAATTTTAGACTGCTTTGAAACATATTATATGATTTATATTTTTTGATTTAGTTATGAAAACGATGCAAAACCTGAATTATTACGTAAACAAACACAACTGCACGATAAGAAGGAGTGCAATCACGAGTCACAGGTGAACCTGTTATTAAATCAAATGTTAAACGCCTTGCAGCCTATTTCAATAATGTTTCATTGATCTCACGTCCAAAGCGGTCGAAAGGAAAAATCGTGATTGTGGTAGTTCGTGACTCAAAGTGTCGCTGAGCCCAGGTCTGGATGTAAATCGGCACCGGGCTGCGCAGCTTTCGTTTTATTACTGCGGGACTGCGGACAACTCGAACCATTACTCAGCAAAAAACAGCGACAGGCGCACATGGAGGCAGTGCGCTGCACCACGTTACGGATGCGCACAAAGTGGGCCATTGCAAATGTCGCGGGAGGGGGAGAAGGGAGGGGGGTGACGACAGGTATGTCAGCAGACGATTAGGTGTCGGCCGTACCTTGCTGTCTAGGACGCTGCTTCCCTCCTGGAGCGTATTCACCTCCGCACTCAGCTCCCCGGCGGAAGCAGAAGCTGAGGCTGAGGCATCCTCCTCCTGGCTCTTCCCGTCCCGCTGCACTGAGTTCTCTGCTCCCATGGTTAACGATCACAAAGATGAACTTCAGACTCCAAAAAAAACACAAAAATAACAACCCTCCAAGATGGCACGACGGGGTTACAGCAAGCGAGTATCCAAAGCGTCCAAACGACGACCTCTACAGTGCAGCTCCGCCCCGGGATGGCCTGGATCTGGAGTGATGTGAAGAGTGAGGACCAGCTCACTTTTCTTTTTTTTTGCAGGACACCCCCGCCTCCTCCTCCTCCTCCTCCCTTCAGTATCACATGGGGCACCGGTGCGCTGCGGCACGCCTTGCAGCATGAGAGACGGTGCTGATGGAGGACAGACCGTCAGAGTGAGAGAAGAGGACAATTGGTGAATGTAATAAAGGCCTTATAGCTTGAAGCATCGCTTCTCCGTATTCAGCAGGAATTAGATCTATCGTGGGGGATTGGTAAATTGAATTAGAGCAGTTGTAAACCACTGACACATGAGGGGAAGGAAACCTACAAAAGCCCCCGAGGACTTTAAAAACAAGTTTGGAACATACTGTATGAAAAAGGAATTTGACTATAGGAATAAGTGAGAAGTACAAGCATCCTTATACAACCATCCATATATAACTTTATACATTTACTATACTTCATTTAAAAAGGACTTCACATTCATCTGATCTTTGTATGTATTATTAATAGAATAACAGTTTTATGAGCAAAACACACAATATGCTAGAAAATGGAATGCCTTGCCTTGCATTGTCAGATTCACCTATACGGGTGTGTGGAGTCATTACACCATCTATGAAGATTTCTACACCATTTGCGTACAGGAAAAATGCATAATATTAAACATTCTTAACAGTTAGAACACTTTGTTCTATTGAATAAGAAAATAGTTACATCAAGACTAACTTATACAGATATAAAGAGAAAAATAAAGTAAAAAAACACTTGAGTACAGAACATTTTTCAATGTAAAACTTAAATTAACTTTTCAAATACATTAAAGCTATTTTACATCCCTCCCCATCTGTCTCCTGTGGTTAACAAGGTCAGGTAACATCTGCTTTGGCATGCAAATACACCCGGGTCAAGTTTTGCATGTTTAGCATTTTGGTGGTAATGATATCGTATCACAGAGAGATATGAAGCAGACTCTACTTGTGCTAAATGTAAACCACTAACAAACACAACAGTCCTGGGACCTCTTAGTTTATCCACTTGTACGTTATTTTAATCTACATTGATGCTGAAGATGGTATCTTTTATTTCAAGTTGCTCAATTTCAATTAAATAGGCCTATATGCTCAAAAATTTAAGTTTTGAATCTCTAATCTAATTCCTCTCTGACATAAACACACAGTATACACATCATTAGGGGACATATTGCCATTGTGTCTCTGTGTGTGTGTGTGTGTGTGTGTGTGTG